GCCGAGGGGCAGGGAAGGCTCCTTGGAGGCACCTGCAGAGGGGCAGGGAGCCCAAGGTCGCAGCAAGGCGCCGGGGCGGAGGCTTCAACACGAAGCTCCGGGTGCAGCAGCGCCCACCCGCTTTCCCATGGAAGGAGGGACAGGAAACGGCTGGGAGCCGCTGGCAGCCCCTGGCTCCTGCCCCAGCCCTGCTGGGTCCCCTCCTGCCACGAGGGCCTAGGACGCATTCCCCAGGGATCCGAGTCCCGCTGCTCCGCAGGCTCCGCTCGGCCCCGGCTCCCAGCGCTGCTCCCCAGCGAGGCGGCCGCTGGCGCCAGCGCCCTGCTCCGTGTGCTCACGGGAGGCCATGGGGAGACCAGACCCTTCCTCTGCTGTATCCATGGGCACAAGGGGTGTGAGGGAAGGAGGGAGCCCCCCCGGAACGGGCACTGACTGCGAAGCGGCCGCCTCCAGAGCCCTGTCCAGGAGCCGGGAGGGTCTCCGGGTCGGAAAGCAGAAGCCCAAATGCGCGTGCCCGGGAGCTGCCGCTGCCCAATGCTTTGGCGGTCGGCAGCGCCGCGTGGAAGCAAAGACCACAGAAAGAGCAGGGCCCGGCCCCCCAGCTGCACTTGCACCCCCAGAGCAGAAAGAGGAGGGAAAAGGGAGTCTCGGGAAGGCCCCCCCCCAATCCCAACTACTGCATTCCCATCACCGCAGCCAGGGCACCGCCGGGACGGCCTCACCTGCCTCAAGGGACCGTTCCCAAGGGGGGKGTGTGGAGACCCCCCAGTGTGGGTGCTCCTGCAGCAGCTCATTGGGACAAAGGGCCCTTCCCCGGCCCAGGGAGGGCTGTTACCCTCGCTGGGTGACAGCTGGGTGCCCCCAGGGCAGGGCCTGGCCCAGCTCCGGGCAGGGATTGCGGAGCGCCGGCACCTGGGCAGGGCGCAGCCGCCCACACCTGCGGGCAGAGACCTGAAATCACCGCCCCAAGGCGCTGCCAGGGGACATTCCCTGTCCTACCGGACACCGATGTCCCCTCCCGCCCAGGACATTCCCTGTCCTACGGGACACCGATGTCCCCTGCCGCTCAGGACATTCCCTGTCCTGTGGGACACCGATGTCCCCTCCCGCTCAGGACATTCCCTGTCCTGTGGGACACTGATGTCCCCTCCTGCTCACCCGCGTGCCCAGCCGGAGAGGAGGCTCAAGGCAGGAATGTGGGGACCGCATCCGCCCAGCCCCACGCCGGCTCCTACGCATCTGTAGTTTCTCATCTGGGGGGAGCTGGGGGTTTTAAGCATTGTTTTTTCCCCCATCTCTCCAAAATGAGGCTTTTGCACGGAAATGTGCAAAGAGCTGCTTTTTTTTTTTTTTTCCCCTATTTTTTTTCTCCGGGTTTTACAACATGAAAGTGGATGCTGATGTGAACAGAATGTTGAGGCTGGAAGCCGGGAAGGCTCCGCTTTGAAGGGCGCCCGTTCGCTCGCTCTGGCCCCGCTCCCCGCGGGCTCCTCCGGCTCCGGATGCTCCGGAGCAGCTTTGCGCACACCCGTTCCCGCGCCTGGTTTGGAGGGCAAAAGCGCCCACATTCACGGTACGGGATGGTCCACCCTGCAGAAACCCCCTGCCCGCATATTTAAAATAATATATTATTTTTAATTTAAAAAATATTTATAAGTGTATTTTAAATACCTCATGCCTGGGTTTATACTGCGTGATCCTGCCTTTATTCCCGGTGCCAAGGTGGGAAACTAAACCCGGGCACAAGCGGCACCGGCAAGAGCAGCAGCAAGTTGGACCCGAACGTGCCCGGGGCGCCGGGCAGCTCCCGCCGACGTGGAAATCATCAGGAGCCGGTCCCGCAGGGATCACCCCCCTTCTTCTACCTTCTTTATAAAAATTAGCAGGTTTGGGGTCTTTTTGATACCTTCACTGTAAGAATTCKCAGGTTTGGGGTATTGTTGAGGCTTTGTGCTGACAACGTGCAACGCGTGGTGACTTTAACCCCAAATCCGCCGTGGCACAGAGAGCCTGGCCACTATAAAAGACTTCCCAGCTCGCTCCGTTGCTGCTGCTCCGTCCTTTGCTGTTGCTATTAGGATGCATTAACATTTTATTGGTGTTACAGGATGAAGCATCCAGCCTTGCAGCTCCAGTGGGCTTGGGGATTTCCAGCATCCTGCAATATGTATCCGTGCAGAGGAAATTAAAATGTGGATGGATCAGCAAGATAGAGCCAAATCCTCCCCAGTAATTCGGAGAAGACTGAACCTCGGCTGCTGGTGGAGCATATTCCAAGCCATCTAATACGGAGCTGAGGAGCTCGGCCGCAGCCTTTTTGTAACTTKTAGTCCTGTCTAAAACAGAAGGTTTCCAACGCTGATATTTAATACCTAAACTAATATTTTAAAAACTATATCCTCTGAACACACATACAAAAAGGAAGACACTTCACAGAACATTCGCTTCCAGAGATGAGCTAGTACCCAATAAAAATATACGCTGAATATCTAGCTGGAATTTCTCTACAACCACCCCAGCAGCCACTTGGATATAGTCCATAGCCATTATAGGACATATTGACACGCAGGAACGTAGGAATAGTTTGCCCGTTTAGCAAGAGCGGAGCAGATATTCCCCTTAGCGCTATTGCCATTTTTAGCTGGAGCCGAGATGTTGCTCCTGCGTTAAGGCTGGGAGCGCAGGGCTGGGGAGCATCATTAATTCCATGTACTCGGAGCGGCCCAAAGCTGTGCAGCCTTTCCCCAAATTGGGCTGCAGCGCTGTAGGCCTCACGCCTTCCAGCCAGTTTCCACGCATAAAATGGGGAGGAACTCATGTAAAAACGGTTAATTTGGGTCTCCTGTCTTGTGCTGTACGGGGTTTATTTCTCCCAGGTGTCTCAGGAACATAAGGACTGCTAAGGAGCTGCCGTTTGGTTTTCCCACCTTCATTCGTTCACGGACTCAGCAGATCCTTGAGCACATCCTTAGGCTGTTCTYACAAAGCGAGGGGACTGTTTGCCCAGCGGGACTTAAGATCACACTTAAGTGCCTGGTGGAAGCAGGACCGCACTCCGCGGCCTCCAGCATCCCAAGCTGCAACAAGGGATGGGGATGTTATCTATTATTTAGCCCCTATTTTAAATTCAGCCCCTTCTAGTTGAGTTTTTAGGAGGCTGCAGCATAGACAAGGGTRGTCTCAGGCCACTCGAGGAGCGTGTCCTCGTGTCAGTGGGATAGGGAGGCTGCATCCGTCACTAGAAAGGTCTGAGCTCTCTCCTCCTTGCTCTTTGAGCACAGGAGTATAATGGTTGGAAAAGACCTTGGGGATCCTCGAGCCCAACCACAGACCCTTCAATGCCATCCTGCTRACCCGTGTCCCCGAGGGCTTCACCCACACCTTTCTTGAGCCRTTCTACACGTTCACACGAAACGAGCTCGGGAAGCGCGGCCAAAATCAGCGTCTTAGTCTGACAGTCCTGCTGGGAGCAGCGATGGGACCCCCTGTGCTCCTTGGCTTGCGARGTTCGCGGCGATGGGGCCCAGGGCAGAGCTTGGCTTCCACTATCAGTGCTGCCAACCACGTCCCTGTGAAGGCAGCAAGTCAACGTCGCTGGAGAAGGACAGGGTCGCTAGGGCTCTGTGTGCCCTTCCCATGCCCGCGGGGCCCTACCCTCTTCCAAGCTTTTGTTCCCTCTTCTAAGTTTCCAGATGGACCAGACCCAGTTTTGGGGCCTTCTGAAGCAGCCAGACTGGCAGCCCCAGGGCTACCGTGTGGTTCAGCACCAAGGTCCTTGGGCACGAAATGTGTCTTTACCCTGCAAGGTGCCTCCCAGGATCTCGCTGGCCAACACATCCCGGTCCCGCAGCGGGGGCATCTTCGTCTCTTTGATGTCAGGAACCCAGGGCTACACAACAGCAATGAGCCACCCACGGGTGACAAGTTAACCCAACAACGGCACGAAATGCTTCTGGTTTCTTGTTCTTTGGCCCCTTTCACCACCCGAGGCCGCTTCTCTTACCTCTTACTTCATTTATCACCTGCACTCACAAACGATCCTGCCCAAGGAAGGGCTGCGAGAGAGACAGGAAGGTTGAGGGCAACCTGCGATCCCTTGGGAACCACCCAGAGCGTCCGTGACCCCGGAATCCAGATCYGGGATCCAGCTGGGATGGAGGATGGGGGGAAACCCAGACTATGTCCTGCTGCTCCCCCTGTGCTAACGCATCCCGCTCGCCAAGCATTTGGTGTCTGCTAGCTCCAGAGAAGAGCATGGTAGCATTTTTGGAGTAAATCCATCAAAACTGCTGAGCTAAACTGGTGCTGGGAGTCCCGAGTCAGCAGGGTGGGAAACGCAGCTTAAAAMCAGGAGGGTTCCAGGTGCCCCCTTGGCCCAGGAACGCGGCTCAGATGCTCCTTGGGTCGGGGTGTCTGATCTTCAGGAGGCAGTTGCTGGTCACGGAGCTGGGTTTGCACATGACCCACCTGCCAGGTCCGAGGTGGGAGAGAGGGCGATTGGACAACCCAAAGAAATGAAACAAATAAAACGTCGCGCGTCAGAGAGACCCAACAAGGACACACAGACAGCCTGAACGTTCTTGCTTCATGCCGTTAAATAACGAGTCAATTTTGGTGCAAGCAGAAGATCAACCAACATGGTAAACATCTCAAGAAACTCTCTTTTCAGCTCCCCAGGAGCCCCAAAGTGGGAGCAAACCGCAGTCCGAGAGAGACCAACGCAGTCACCGGTGCAAAACACAGAGATTTTAATTAAAACCACAATGTGGGAGGTGGGGGAGCGCTGCTTCGGGCATGGGGCGGCCCTGGGCGCTGCGACACGTGCGGGGGACACGGGTGGGAGCCGGGGGGCGTGAGCAGCCGACGGCCCCGCTCCGGGGGGACAGGTCCCGGCGCGGTTGACACGAACCAAGGAGGAATTAACTGCTGCAGGCCCCAAAGGACAAACGTGCGGGCTGAGGCCAGCCAGGAGGCCAGGGCTCCATCCAGGGTGGTGTCCCAWGGAGGGACACAGGCTCCCCTAGGGCAGCTGTGCTGGGAGGAAACATCTCCCAACCCCTTCCGGGGCTTCCCGGCCATGGTGTTCATTCCAGCACCACAAACGTGGACATTTCCAACCACCTTCTTGCACAGAAGCCCAAATTCCATGAAATTCCTGGGAGAGCCGCGCTCAGCCGCCCTGGGCAGCTGCTTGGGCTCAGCCYGTGCTGGCCAGATGCTGAGCAGCTTTGCAGCCTGGTGGCACTTGGTGAAAGCCCCAGCAGAGAGAGGGGACACGGACCGAGAAGGCCGAGTCCCCTGACCCAGCTGCCCCATCAGAAACAGACTCCTCCGATCCCAACGCTCCCAGCGTGGATTTCTTTGGCAAGCCGAGTTGACGCTCACATCCCATTAACGACTTAGAGGTAAAGACCCGAGTCCCCTTCCCTTCCACTCAAAGCGGAGCTCTGTAAAGCTGGCTCAGGTGGAAAGCTCCCTGCCCCGTCCCACGGGGAGGACAGGCAGCCCAGGGCCAAGCAGGGAGCAGAGAGGACAGTAGCAGCGCTGGAAAGCTCTGCTTTAGCTCTACTCACACCTGCATTTCGCTGCCTCTTCATTTAGACTCTTCTCGCTCTCCCCTCAAGAGCATCTGAGAACCTTTTGTAAGAGGGAGCAGCTGAGTCTGGCAACAAGAAAACTGAAATAATAATAATAATAAAAAAAGACTAAATGCAAACAGGCTTTTTTCTTCCGAACGGTAACAGTAAAGCAGCGCAGCAGCAAAGCTGAGCATCCCGGCTGGAGACAGCACCTCCTGGAATACGCAGGGAAAGGATCCCGGCTGCTCCCAACGCCCCACAGAGCCGGGGCAGCTCCTCTCACCGCCGCACCGGGCAGGGGGAAACACCCCGTCCTGCCAGAGACCTGCAGGGCACCCGGCACGTGGAGCCAAGCGCTCTCCTCCAAGCGGCCTCCAGTGTTCCTGCCCTCCCCGTGACACGTCACGATGGTCTGGCTCACGTCCCCATTCATTCCCCTGCCTCCTGCCGGCACCGGATCGTGGTCCCTCCATCCGAGGCCCAGCAATGAGGACAGGACCTCGTGCCACGGAGGCCGGTGAAGCGCCAAGGAAAAGGGCTGGAGCCCGCGCACCCCCAGCCGGCAGCGGGCAGGTGGGAAGGGGAAGTTTAAAGGGGGGTTTGCTGCCCGTTAACCGCAGAGCGGAGGGAGCCCCCCAGGCTCCGCTCAAGCTGTTGTCTCTGCATCGCTGCTCCCGCAGAGCTGGCGCCCTCGGGAGCCCCTGGCTCCGGTTATGGAGCCGGCGCCCCCAGGAGCCCCTGGCTCCGGTTATGGAGCCCCGGGAGCCACGAGGCTCCTCGCTTCACCCTAGAGAAGAGGCGGGGTGTGAAAGGAAGACCTAGGGAACCTGGCAGGAGCGATGGAGCGAGGAGGAAGATGGGATTTCCTTACCCAGGATGAGGGAGAGACGTCACCCTGCGCCTCCAGCAGCCTTCCCACCGCTCCCCGACCCTCTCCGGCACAGCCCGTGCGAGCTACAGACGGGAACGTGTGGACTCACCCCCCGCCAGCGCCTCCCCAAACCAAACAGCAACCGGAAACTTCAGTGAAATTCCAACGGGAAAGGGCAGTCACCGCTGCCCAACACATATATACAGAGGCCTTCCTCCCCTCCCAGCGCCTTCCTCGCGGGAAGGGCAGCACGGGGGCCTTGCCAGCGAGGCTCGCGCGCACGGGAGGGCTCTCGGTGGCGGATCGCGGCTGCCGAGGGGGACGTGCGGGGCCGGGCGGGCTGTGCGGCGGCGAGGCGATGAGGAGGGGCCCGGGGGAGGAGGAAGGGCAGCGCGCGGCGCCTCCGCCGCCTCCTTAGGACGTCACGGGCTGGATGGGGAGCAGGCTGCCGAACTTGAAGTGCTGGATCACGGGGAACTTCTCCAGGCACTGCAGGAGGGGAGACAAAGAGGGGGGAATTCAGGAGACGTTTCCACCTTGAAGGCAGCCAGAGCTACATCCGCCAGGCCAGCCCAGCTCCAGGCTGAGCTCGTGAGCAGGATCGAGCTGCTTTTTCTCCCCACTCTTCCATCAGACTCTGCAGGTCTGGAATTCTTTGTATTCCCATCCCCTTCCCTTGATCCTGAGCCGTCTGCTTGCTGAAACGCAGCCCTGGAGCACGAGCAGAGGCCGGTTTACAGCAGCCGCTGCTCGCTGCTTGAGCTGACCTCTTTGCAGAGCTTCCCCCCTTGGGAACTGCAGAACCCCCCTTGGGAAAAGGCTCTCTGTGCCCCAGGAAGGTGCCCACACTTTGGGCTAGAGGCACCACCCTCCAGCCAGAAAGCCCTGCTCAAGCTGCCTTGCAGACTGTCAAGTCTGGGGTAAAGAAACACCACTGATCTGGCTGTCAAGTTTAAGACATCATCCACCTCCCCAACTCCTGCAGTTCCCACTTCCTTGCAGGGTATGGACAGAGGAGGTATGGACCATAGGTCAACCACATACGTGCACCACAAGGCAGCTGAGCTCAGAGCTGCTTTCTCCAGGGATTGCAGCTAAGACACAGCCCCGTGCCCTGCCAGGCAGCAAGGCCAGCGACCACGGTCTATAATCACCCCAAAGTTTGCCAGCACGCGCACAGCAGAGCCCTCCGAGTTGTGTTTGCTGCTTCACTACAGTTCAGACTGCTGAAAAGCCACCCAGAGCCTGGAGTTGTCCATCCAGGCTCAGCTCCAGCCGACAAGACCTCAGGGCAGGGCACCAAAAAGAAGCCTATCCTGCACCCATTACGGCACACGTCACCTTCAAGCTTCCCAGTGCACGGGAACCAYCTCCCAGCACAACCACAGTGAGAGGAACCCTCAGAGGATGCAGTGTTGGAACACAGTGGTGTGAAAGAAGGACGAGGAGAAATAAATCTGTGAGATACCAACAGCCAGAAACCCAGCCAGCTCCAAGGAGTCCCATGGATGACGGGACTGTTGGGATCCTGCTGAAACCTCTTTACCACAACTGGGAAGAACTGGGATCCACTCCAGCAAGCACAGTGATGGTCCAAGAAGAGACGAGCAAAGAAATTTCTCATTCCATATCCAGCAAGATCAGCCCCAAATTGTTGCATTATTGGAGATGCCAAAAACCAGGAGCTTCCTCCCACCGCTCGTTGCTGAAACCAATGCATCTGACACTCACTCGATGTGCTTGGAGGGGACAGGCTTATTCTTGCTCCTCGTCACCCCTATCATGCTGAAAACCTGCTCAGGACTCGACTGGGGAGCTAGATTCATGCAACTAGTCCAACCTTTAAAGACAGAACTGGGACTAGATGAGTTGCAATGGGAAGTATTTCCCATCGGACTGCAGCAGGAAAGGTCAGGAGCCTCGAAAGTGGGCTCAGGGGAAAACATCAAGGCTGMTGCTTTAACCACACTCTATTCTGTCGACTTCTTTGCTTGCCTTTGATGGGGAAAATAAGAAAAGCCCTTGTGCTTCCAAGGGAACTCTTCTGCACCCGTTACAAATAGACACATTTGAGATTTCACAAACACACAGAGCAGAAGACACATTGTCTTCAGTCTCCTGCCCATCCGTAGACCTTGTAGCGAGCACCTTGGAGAGCCTGGATCCAGCYAAGAGCTCCCGGTGACACCAACTTACCTGACCTTCATGTTGGCTGCTTAAGGTCATCCCATAGAGGGGACAGAGAAGAGACCAAGTGGCCAAAGTGGCTTTTTAAAGCAACCAAGCCTGGCAATGACCCCACTTCTACCACATGAGAGCTGATTGCAAGTAAACGTTGGGTTTCTCTCAGGCAGCTTCTATTGAGTCACCCTGTTGCCCTCCTGGCTCCACTCAAGCCTGGTCACCGCTGGCACCATCAAGCCCTCAAGAACTTCTCGATTACCCCCAGAAGATACGCTAACACAGAGACACACTAACAGGATTCAGTTTTCAATGGAAGAAGCCTCAGCGAGTCCCAAACATGGGGTCCTTCCCAAAATGTCACTCCAGAAGATCCCTTAGGTGGTCAATAAATACTACATGGGCAGGCAAGCCGTACCGAAAAGCTCTGCCCAACCAGSCTGCCATCTCCATGTTTCTCTTCTCTCAGGCTTCCAAGGGCCACATGAGTCAGCCGGGGGGTGGGAGACTTCCCAAAATCCCAGGAACTGGGGCCTCTGTCCCTCTCTCCACTCCCCGTCCAGGCATGTCCAGGCACAACGCACACCAGGAGAGCACTCTGCTGCGTGCGAGACACATGCTTAGGAAATGAGACTAACATTCTCCTAAAATCTGCAGGCATTCTTTGAGAAAAAGCTAAATTTAAAGCCACATAGCATTTTCAGCTCTACTCAACAGTTTCCATCCCTTAGCCTATGCAAGTGGCCTCCCCAGCAGCTTTTGCTGTCGTCTCCACACACAGATACTTCCCTAGAAGTATCCCTAGATATTTCTAGACACCCACCAGCTTAAGATCCAAAAGGTCCACACAGAATCTGCTATTTAGAAGTGGTCAAGGCCTCCAGAGAAGACCAYGTCACATAAGACAGTCAATGCTGGAGCCTTGGACGCACCCAGAAATGGCCAGAGCTTCTCCCAGGAGAAGAAACATGAATTACAACCCTCTCTGGAGGCCACCAGGGCTGTGCTGTCCCCAGCAGGCCAGGGGCACCTCCAGAATGCAGTGACCCCAAGACGTGAGCAGAGGCACCCAGTGCAAGGTGGGCACGTCACCTCCTGCCGTGCACATGGAGGGGACACCGTGTGGCAGGGGACACGTAGGGGGTCAGGTAGGAGCACCTGAAGAGCACAAGGAACCGATCAAAAGCAGACGGATGACCTTGCCCAGGCTCTAAGAGACCTAGATATATAATAATATATAATATAGGGCAGTATAATCTATATACTATAGGTCAGTATAGCCTTCCACAGCGCTCTCAGGGCTGGGGCCTTCCCTCCGGATCCGCCGGGAGTCTCCGACCTGTGTCCTCCGGCTCCAGAGCTCCGGGCCGGGGCGAACCCTGCGGAGCAGCCGCGGGGGGCGGCCCCCGGCCCGGGAAGGCAGGAAAGCCGAGCTGGGGGCGGAAGGAGCCCGAGTGACACCTCGCAGATTAGAGAGGTATGTGGCCTGGAACCTAAACACAGGATGTGCCGCTGGGGCAGGGCTGGGGGAGGGAGCGTTAACCCCTTYGCGGGCCGGGGCTGCGCGGCCCAGCAGCAAAGCCACGACTTGGACCCCRTGGTCGCGGGTAACTTTTAGTCCTTGGCGGGGTAATCTGCGTCTCCAGGGCCAGCTGAGCTCTCCTTGCTCCTCTGGAGGCCCCGGGTGCAGCCGGCATCTCCTGCAGAACCGGTTCAGCGCCGGCGTTCCCAACAAGAGGTGCCGCCTCCTGGTCGGCTCCCTTGGGAGCGCCAGATGTGGCAGCTCCTGCGCTGCTTCCTCCAGCCCAGGGTTGGCTCTAGCAGGAAGGAGAGAGAAAGGACAGCCGAAAGCACCAGTTCCCCAGGACAAGGATCTCCAGGAAAGCCCATGCGCCAGCAGAGCTCTGGCCCATGGAGGCTGGTCAAGCCATGGAAGAGGCTACGGCCTGGGCTGCCCAGTGCCCTGCGCACGCAGGGCTTGCAACAAGGCCAGGTCTGCAGCAAGTGTTCGGGCTGCTGTGGGTTCCCTGAAACAAGCAATGAGAATTGGAACCATCCTGGCTCCAGTCGGAGCAGCGGCAGCGCAGGGATGAGCTGCTCAAACATGTCAAGGCATCAGCCCTAATTCAGGCACTTGCAAAGGAGAGACAAGCAACGGAAAGTCTCGTCTGCAAGGGAGGCACAATTTAGGGACTGCTTTTGGGGCTAACACCGGCCGGGCAGGGGCCTCCTTCCAGCCAGCAGCTCCAGCTGCAAGCCAAGGGCAGCCGAGCGCGGTCAGCAAGTCCAGCAAGTGGCTGCGAACGGGACCCCGGGCCCAGGAGCCACCAGCAGAGCTGACCTGCACCCAAACGGCAGGGAGGAGGCGTGTGGGTGAGAGCGGCTCGGCCTCCGGCCGCCCGCGCCGCTCACCTCTGCCTTGTACATGCGGATGAGGCCCTGGTTCACCTTGGACCAGGAGGGCACGGCGCTGATGTTCCAGAGCTGGTTGGAGTGCTCGGCGAAGGGGCCCGTCTTCATCTGCAAGAGACACGGAGAGGGGCTGAGGGCGGGCGGCCCGGCGGGACGCGCGCCCCCCGGCACCCACCCGCTCTCTCCGGGCCAACATTCCCATGGAGGCGCCGGGATCCATGTGGCAACGGCCTCGCTGCACCATCCCCTCCCTCCACCCTGCCTCATGTTAAATAGCGGCCATTCAGCTCCCCACTCCCGGCCCACGCGAAGCCTTTTTTTGCCATATTTCCCTGCTAATCGGATCTCCCTCTCCACCCCTCCCTTTTAACGAGGGCATTAAACCCCCCACGTAAGGCCCATTCTGCCCCCAGCAGAGCTTGGCTCAGCGCTGTTCCTGCTCTACCCAGAAACCTCCCGGCACTGCTGGGTTTTCCAAGAAAATGACTCATTCCCCATTCAGATCAACAACAGGCAGCGGYGACGGCGGCTGAGCACGGAGGGCAGCGCGGGCCGGCTCCAGTGTCCCCAGTGTGGCACCTGAGCCGGCACCACGGGGGCCGCACTCCAGCCCCGCTCCCGACCCAGCTCCTGAGCTGCGAGTCGCCTGTTTGCAGCAGATCGGGATTTTTTTGCTGTTGTTTTCCTCATTTTTCCCTCCTAAACTCCAGCCTTCTTCCTCGCAGGGAGAGGGGTTTGGAGGAGGGAGGGCGGAGGGGGAGCTGCAGCCGTGGATGTTTGCATGACCATTCCCTGGGTAGCTGCCTCTGCTCCATGAACAAAAACAGACCCTCGGGGAGAAAGAGAAATATCAGGCAGCTGCTCCGACCGAGCGCGTTTCCCATGACATCAGAAACCACAAGGCCGAAGCTCACGCTAAAAAGGAGCGTGGGGAGACAGGAATCTCTTGGACTCCTCATCTCCGCTCGGGCTGGGGTTTAAATAACTAACCCCTTCCCTCCACGGGCATGCGGGCCGGCAGCGAGGGCGGGAAAGCTGCTCCAAGCCTGGATAGCTCTGCCTGCTGGAGAGGAAGGAAGGGAGGGAGGCCGAGGAGGCCGCTTTGGGGAACCGCCGCTGCCCTTCGGCAAGGTGTGCGCGGCATCCGCCTGCAAAGGGAAAGCGGGAGCGGAGCGAGCGAGGGGGAGACACGGCTCGGAGGAGGAGAAGGAGGCACCGCCATCCCGCTGGCCTCGGCTCCGCTTCCTCCCCTGGCTGTGGTGCAACGGGGATGCCTGACGAGCCGTTCCCGCTCCGTGGGACGGCTTTTCCTTGCACGGATGGGGCGGAACACACGGATGCGCCCAGCCCAGCGTCACCCCACGGTGCTGGGACGTGGCGGGTTAAGGGACACACGTGGCAGGGGACGCGGAGGCCGGCAGCGCGCGAGGCCACGGCCGTCCCCATGCATGAGCCCTCGTCTCTGTCTCAACGTGGGTGAAAAGGGGGAAAAAAACGAGCCACAAAGGGGAGAAGAGGAGGGAGCCGGGGAGAGAGCGCGAGCGCGGAGGCAGCGAGCGCCGCAGTCCCGCAGTGACCCCAGGGGAACGGAGTGAGTCAGAGCAGCCATATTGAGCAGGAAATTACTCACAGCCGCTGCGTTYCTGCCTCTCCGCTCCCAAGAGAATCGGCCTTTTGTAAATGGTTCCTCTGTCAGCAACGGGGGGGAGGGGGACGGCTGAGGCAGTGCTTTCCTGTCAGCTCCTTCCCTTCCAGCCGAAATCCGAGCCCTCCCTTCCCAAACCTCCCAATTTAGCAGCCGGATTGAAAGCGGGATTCTCGCTTGCCGGCCCTTGGCTCTTCACGCGAGGCGGCCGCCCCGCGGGGCCGTCTCCGGCCAGGATGTGGGATCTGGGATGCGGGATCTGGGATGCGGGGTGCTGCTTCCTTGCTAGGGGCTTGGGTTTGGGCCGGTTCCGTGGCAGGCGGCGCTGGGTGCCCCTTCAGGGATGGTGCAGGGATCCCAAACCATCCTCATCCTCATGTCCGCCTTGTTCTCTGCTGCACAGCAACGCGCTTGGGCAAAACCCCTTGCTGGGAGGCTGAGCCCCAATCCCGGCCAACACAGCGAAATTCACGTTATTTAAATTAAAAATACACCAAAAAAATTACACGTTGGGGTCTCCCAGCACCTGGCTGACCTCCCAAGGATGGCTTGGAGCTGGCCGTCATCTTGCTGTTAGTCTAAGAGCTGGAGGTTTCTGCATCCACGTGGCAAACGCCCCGGCCCCGCATCCCTGACACGTCACCCGGAGGCCGAAAGCAAACACGCATCTGCTCACAAGGATATTCCCTCAATTAAAAGAAAATAACCCGGCCTGRCTGCGGGGTGTCAAGACAAGAGCTGCTCTTGGGCCAGTGGCATGTGCTGGACCCAGTGCGGGAACTGGAGGCGCTTGCTATCTAAGTAAAAGTGGGAACCTTCCAATTGAAAAACTCTTAATTTAATATACTATTTAATCCCCTCTATCTTCTTTTTTTTCCCCCCTGGTATTTTGTTTATTTCGTTGTGGATTTTGGAGAGAAAGCAGGCGTGGGAGAGCCTGTCCCAGCCCCACCTAGTGGTAGCAGCAATCTTGGCCAGCATACAAGAAGGAAATTCAAATTTTGAAATTTGAAAAGAGAAATTTTTTTTTTTTTTTTTTTTTTTAAACAGGCGCATTCGCTTAAAAACACATTGGAAATATCCTGCCTTGGATAATCCTGGTTGTTGCCATTCTTTGGGAGCTCCTGCTAGGAGGGAGCAAAAGCCAGGTCTCCTACCACCAGGTGGCACTGAGCAGCTCAGCCCAGGCGCCAGCACTGACAATACAGGGTGGAAAAAGAAGTGAAATCACATATTTAAAAAATAAAATAAAATAGCTACCAAGAAGCGAAGCTGCTGCAGGCAACGTGACTCCAAGCAGCGCGCTGCTGCGGAGTTTAAACTTGACGTGTCATCTGCATACTGCAGTATTTTCCACGAACGACCCAAGATTTATATTTTTCAGGTTATTGCACTCTGCTAGCCCCGATTTAAAATAAATCTTAGAGCATCTTGGCTCCTGCTTGCAGTGAGGATGAAGCAAGAACAGATTTCTGCTCCTCCTCTTTGCCTCTTAAGCCAGTGTCTCTTCACAGCACAAGGTAGCGCTGAGTGAAGGGTTAAATCCTGGGAGCTGCTCTGTACCAAAGCCCTGTACCAAATTCAGCAGGACTTGGCACCTCCTGGGGTTTGGGCCAACGGCTCCTATGGATGTTTTCTACATGGAAGGCTAAATTCACCCTCTGAAACCTCCCTTCTCATCTCATCACCGACTTAGGGAGGTGAGGAGGGGAAAAAGCAGACGGAACGAAGGGGGAGAGCTGCACTCTATCCTTCAAAATTCATCACATCAACGCCTCCTTGCCAGAGACAAGAAATCCCTCACCAGAGCAGAGCATGTGGTTCCTGCTCTCCCTGCCCAGACCTTGCAGTAAAGGCGGGGGGGACAAGAAAAACACTCAGGTCATTCACTTTGGCAGAGGGTAGGAAGCTGCAAACTCCTGCATTTAGACACACTGCCCGTGGCTGGCAACACACCAAATATCCCCAGTCCCTTGCCCAGGGACCCTAGAATCCTTGAGCAAAAACACAGCCCTGAGGGTGCGGCCAGTCGGGTTAAATTCAGCACCATTTCCTCTTAATAGTTTACAGAAATGCACTTTTTTTTTTTTTTTTTTTTGCAACTTGCATGGCAGAGACTGGTCAGACCTGGAAGAGACCAAGCTGCGTGGAGGTTTTCGAGCCTGCTGTAAGGCAGGGAAAGCTCTCAGCCTGCTAGGCAGGGTGAAAAGGCAGGGAAAGCTCTCAGCCTGCTAGGCAGGGTGAAAAGGCTGGAGGGAAGGGAGGTTATTTTGGCAAGCACAGCCATTTTGCAGCTCCTGCTTTATCTTCCTAGCACACATGCAGGCACCGGTCTCCTCCATCTGAGTTCCCACTGACTGATCCAAATGATGATCCAAGGTTATTTGTTTGCTCTTGTTAGAGCTCCCTTCAATAGCAATCCACAGCCCATCTAGCTTAATTATACTTTTCTCTCAACATCCCTGTTCAGCTCATTCAAGGAGAGTGTCCCAGGCATGCAGCAACAGCTCGTGCACACACTTCCATGAGAGCAAACAAATAAGCAAAAGAGGATTAGAAAACCACAGCTGGACCRTAGTGTCTGGGATCAAGAGAGCTTCCCTGTGGGACAAACTTCCCAGTCCTCACCTCTGTAATGAAGAGGATGCACTCCAGGAACATGAAGTCCTTATGGTTTTCATTTACCACCTTCTCATCCACAAAGTGCCGAGGCTCCAGATTTGGATGGTCTAAAGAATAAAAGAATACAGGGAGTAACCTATAGAGCATCCAAAATGGCCAAATTCAAGCAGTCAGGGCTTTTGAAAGCAGAAAACAAAATTTCTGAGCCCCAAGCAAACTCTTTCACTATATTATACATAATATGGACACATTTACRTTTAAACTGCCCTGCAACCAAGCCCAACAGAACAGTGGGCAGGCTGGGACAGCAGAAGATTTCTATTATTACCTATTAGTTGGGAACTGCCCCATATGAAGGGTAGAAACTGGAAGTCGTCCAAGCCCCACACACCCTGGCTGCCAGCAGGTTCCATCCTGTAGGTCTTCTGAAGTTTCCGCATCACTTCTAGGTACCTGAAACAAAAGGGAGAAAGAAGAGCTAAGGCAAGGCAGGTTTTTGAACCAAGCTCAGGTTTCTTCCTCCATGGAACAAAAGGGAGATGAAACCAGAGAGACCCTCTTCTCTAAAGGGCCTCAAGCTCATTTTTTGGTCCAACAGAAGAGCCCAATTCAGGCTAAAATCTTTTTTTGTTATACTGAATTCTCTAAAAAGGCAAGTGCAAGAGGTTTATATTATCCAGTGTCTTAGGTGGGTGCAGATCTTTCCCCATTCCTGCTGTAATTTGAGAATATTGATACTTCACTCTCCTCCAATAACTTCCAGAAGAGCTCAGAAAGCTTTCCACTGCATGGCAACTGCTACGCCAGTTTTTCAGGTGGAAAACTAATGCAAGGAAGAACTACTGAGGGAAATCATTTCCACGCCACCAATCAATTCTCTATCTGGGATTAGATCTCTGGACTCCAAATGCCCATTCCACTGGTTTCATCACTACCAACTCCACCTCCTGGGTTGGAAACACACGTGAAGAGAGATACAGTGGATGCCTGCCAGTTTCATGGATTTTTTTCTTAATGCTTGAAGAGACATTAGATCATCTGGTCAGACATCCCAGTCTATCACAAACCACAGAACTTCATCCAGATACCTCTGAACAGCTCAATAACTTGTGTTCAACTAAAACAACTTTCCCAAAAGATATCCAGCCTCTAACAGACACGGTGTCACCACATTCTCTGGAGATGGCCACAGTGGCTAGGATTACACTCCATTAAAAAGTACATCTTTTTCCTAACTGCAAATTATCTACATTTGTAGATGTAGATAATTCAAATAATAATATAATCCAAATAGTAATATAATGTAATAATCCAAACATGGATTTCTCACTCTGCCCTTCTTCCCTAGGCCAGCACGCTCATCAGCACTCGTGTCCTCTGTTACACRTAGACCTTTGCAGAAGGATCTTGATTTTCCCAGATCATATCCCAGGAGGAAGCTCTTCTTACAATTTCTTACTTCCAAATGGGTGCTGATGGGGGGTAAAGGGTGCACATCCTGCCCAGACCACAGGAAGAGCCCGATGTACAGAACATCTCAGACATCCTGGACAGTTGGAAGGGGACGCTGTCAAATCTGGCCCCTAAACAACCCTTCTCCTTCCATATCTCACCTGTTAAACACTTTGAAGACAATGGCCATCTGGTCATCCACTCGGAGAACGCCGATTTTGCAGAGGCAACAGAGAAATGCCGCAAATGCTGCTTCGTGCCCTGAAGTTAAAAAGATGAAGAGATATGACACGGGTGTCTACAATTCCTGGGACAAACCTTGCGTAGGCACCAGAGCAGCTCTTTGGAAATCACACCAGCCACGTTCCCAGGGCAAAAGCCCCAGCCAGCTGTTTCTCAGGTGCTGACAACGTCTCATTCCCACACAGCACCCAGCCAAAGTGCCTTCCAGGCATCTGTAAGATCACTCTGCCCTTGGAGACAGAAAGAAGACAGTTTTTGAGGAACACCAGCTCCAACACTGGGTGTGCTGGGAGCAAGGCTGGGCCTTCCCCAGGAGCTCGGCACTGCAGAGCTGCTCTGGAGAAGTGAGCAGGTCTCCCCCTGCTTCAGAGACTTCCGTGTCACAAGGATGCAGGTGCCAAGACAGTGCTGGGAACACTCCCTCCCACGGGGCACCAGGAGCAGTGGCCGCAGCTCCACAGCTCTGTCCTCCAGCCAAGAGCAAGGAGAAAAAGGCAGCCAGCAAAACCAGAGCGGTGCCCTTCACTGGAAGGGACCACAGAGCCACGGACATACAAGAAAAGCCCATTTGCTCTACAAGAAAACGTAGCTGCCAGGGTATGAACAAACTGCACCTACAGCCCAGCCACTGGGGAGATCAAGGTTTGCCCCCGGCACAGGACACACAGGAGGGGAGAAAAGACTGAATTTTATTCCCTAAACTCAAAATCCCAGGCACTAGGTCCTTTTCCAAGGCCAACATCTCCCCCTGGTGCCAGCGAAATGCAGCTCTCCCGGCCAGGCACCACGCAGCCTCCGCGCTTCCTCCTTTTACCCTGAGCTTCCCTGCTCCCCCAGTGTCCCACCCCAATGGCTTTTGTCGAGGACACCCCTCTCAGCACCCCTGGCCTCCAGATGAAGGGGCAGGGTGTGCAGTAACCATGTGGTTTCACACCAGCATTTCTGGATTTGCATCTAACTGAAGGCCGTGTGTTTACCCCAATTACCCCAACCTGCAATTTTGTATTTTCTTAGATTGAATGCAGGCACGTTTTGTAGTTGAGCAGTGAATGCTACTCCTAGGAAACACCAGAACTTGATCCAGAACTTCTCACAACCCAAATTTGAATTTCTTGAACACAAATTTGTTTCCCATTCTAGTTCAATTTCATGCAGTTATATTTTATCCCTCCCAAGTGCCTATTGCAGATCAGCTGTGCAGCTCCCAAAATTCATCYGGGAACAACTTGCAAGGCTTGATTCATGCTCCTAAACCACTTGGAGGTGCTTGGATGAGACATAAGAAGGGTRTCATAGCTCTAGTGCAGTGCAGCTCCCAGCACCAGCTCTCCCCAGGCCACAGCCCACCCTGCACACAGGGTAAGGAGRCCCAGGAGGGAAGGTGGGCAACTCCTGGCACTAAAACCAGTGGCTATAGGGTATTTAAGTAAAGCCAGCATGAGGCTCCCAACAGCAGCTGCCCTTGGGAGCCCAGCCCGGGGCAGTGTGCGGGCCAGGGTACCTGTGCCGTAGTCAATGCGGGTGGAGTTCCCCACGGATTCCTTCAGGTACACGGCGACCTCGGGCGCAGCGTCAGCCAGGTGCTTGGGGATCACTGTTGCCACCAGCTTCTCCGCTTCCTGAAAAATATAAAAGGGCCTCTTGAGTGAGCACAGATCTGCTGCTGCCCTCGAGAGACCTCTGCTCATGGCGCACCCAGCCTGACAGAGGAATGAACTGCCCTACTGAGGAAGCCACCTCCACAGAGCAGTTTAGGGACAGCTTTGCCTGATGCTGACCCTGAACACACGCAGTGTGCAGGGGAAAAGAGACTTCAGCACCCAGGCACATCAGCCTTGGAATGACAGTGATCCAGCCTAAAGCCAAAGAGGGATTTACCTGGAGCCTCTGCTCTCGTAAGAGATAARGACAGCCCCAGATGAGCACTAAGTGATGCATATTGAGAGGAGGATCACTCCCTGCTTAGCAGAGACTGTGCAACTCCCCTGCAGGCTGCCTGGCTACCAGAGGGATGCAGCCTCTCTGCTACCAGGGCTTTTTTTTTCGCAATTGCACTTAATAGTAGGGATGGAAGACACGCTCACCTGGTCCAGTTTGCCATACCAGGTCCTGAAGGCTTTGTTGCCAAAGCGAGAAGGTTGATCCACTGGGGGAGTTTCATCGATCCATCTGTCGAGGGTGTTCAGAAGAGCCACCAGCTTTTCAATGGGCTACAGAGACGAGAAGAGGAGGGGTCACGGTGACACAAAGCAGAGCAGTCCCTCAGTAACTGTCCTCAGCTGAGGGTTTTAAAGCCACCACCATTCTCCCCAAGGTGGGAAGCAGGAATGGGATGTGCCCAGGCCCTGTGAAGTGCAGTGAGGCCAGGCCCAGAGCTCCTTTCCCTCAGATCAGTCCAACACAAGACGCAGGTTGAGGCTCTCCTGGAGCCCCCCAACCTCTCATGAGCTGCAACAGCCACAGTCAGACTTAGAGCAGAGGGGCTAAAGCCCCTTGGTGAGGGACACACAAGACAGAGAAGCAGGGGCAGAAGTGCTGCTGAACTGAGGCATCTCCAACACAAAACTGAGGATATATATCTCTCTTTTCCTCTTGTGCCTCTTTTCCTGGGATACAGGGGATGGTATCCTCATCCATGGTATAAGTATAGATACCTTCATATCACATCACGTGATATACATCATATATGTAAACCTCTTCTCTTGGACCCTTAGTAAGAGCATGAAGCTGGTGGGAAACAAAGGAAATGGGCAGACAACAAAGCCATTTTTCCTGTATCCAGTGCCGGAAGGAGAAACTGAGGAACCTGCACAAGATGTAGAAGGGTCAGAGCGTGGAGGAGGCACCRCTGTGCAGGGCAAGCCCAGCAGCAGCCCGGGCAGCGGCTCCCAGCAGGATGGGAGGCTCTGCCCACAACCTGCCGGAGRCTCCGGGATGCTCCTCGCCCAGCTCCGAGGAGCTGCAGAGCCGGCAGCCGTGGCAGCAGCTGCCCAGGCCCCGGGCGAGGGAGGCTTCGCTGCCTCCGGAGGGGCCTCCTCCGCCAAGAGGACAAAAAGGACACCCGAAACGGAGGCTGCTTTGACTTTGCTGGAGGCATCAGCCACGTGGAGGCGGCCGGTCTCCTGGGCCGTGCTTCAATGCTGCTGCTGCTGCTGCTGCTGAAAGAGCCGAGCCCAGCAAGTTTCCAGCCCTTGAAGTGCCCCTCGCAGGGGCCAGGAGGAGGGGTGGGCACGGCAGAGCCGGGCGCTGCGGGTCGTGTGTTGCTGCCCAGCCCCTCCACGGCCAGGGAATGAGGCAGGAAGGGCCTGGAGCAGGGAGAGCCCCCRCGCAGCCAGCGGCTCCTTGGAAGGGATGGACACTGCGAGGGGAAAGCAAAGGGCGGGAGCAGGGAATGCACCCAGGCCGGAGGGGCCCTGGCTGGGACCGGAGCACCCCAGCAAGGCGAAAGACCCTGAGTGCTGACGGAGGCAGCAGCACCCTTGGGTGCAAACTGGACCTGGCACCCACTTGGTGCCCGGGATTTGCACAGAGGGCAGCAGCTCAAGCCGCTGCTCCAGCCGCCCCGCGCTGCACAAAGGCAGCGCACGGGGCCGGGTTTGGAGGCAGCTCCTCCCCGGCCGGCTCCGCGCTCCCCTCCAATTAAGCGACAGCTTCCCCAGCACCGACTGCATTAAATAATTAAACGGCGCCGGTGATTTATCCCCGAGCAGCAGCAGCTCATTACGAGCAGCTCCCGTATTTCAAACCCCGCTCGCCAAGCGCCTGGATAAATGGCTGGCAAAGCTGCCTCCTTCCCCCTCGGAGGCCTCGGGGAGCGGAGGCAGAGCCGGCCCTCCCCTTCCCGCTCGCTGCCTTTAAAGAGATTAAARCCCCCAGCCCCGCTGCACGCGGGAGAGCGGGACCCAGCTGCTGGCACAGCCACGCCGATAAATAATTAAAGAGAGGCGGCTCGTTTGGGGCTCGAGGCCCTTTGCAAAGGGGGTTATTAAAGGCAGCAGCTTCGCGCTGTCCAGCGGAGGGTGATGGGATCGGCACGGCCGGCGCCGCAGGGTCGCGCCTGGCTGCGCTTTTAGGCTCTGCTTTGGCATTACTTTCCAGGGATGAGAGCGAGGGCAGCGCTCGCTGCTGCGCTGGCTTTGCAGCCCCTTGGCCCCTGACCCAAGGCGAACGGCAGCGTCTCCTCCGGAGCAGGGAGCTGCTGGCGCCCGTGACGGAGCAGGGGACCGCGGCGCCGAGGTGCCATCCGCAGGGGAGGATGCTCTGAGGGCAGCAAGCCTGCCCAACGAGGGGGAGCTGCAGGGATGGGGCACTTGCTGCTCCCCTCTTGGGGCCGCGGAGGCCAAGGAGCTTCCGCGGGGCTGGCTGAGGGCAGCGGCTGCTCCTCGCCCGCTGCAGCACACGGGGGCTGCGCTCCCTCCAGGAGGGGACAGCGGGACACGGCCCAGGGSCCACTCGGCTCCGCGCCAGGCACAGGGGCCACGGCCGGAGCCCTGGGTGGCTGCGAGAGCCTCCAGCAGCGGCCGGAGCCCCCGGCGGCGGCCGGAGCCCTGGGTGGTGGCCGGAGCCCCCGGCGGCACCGCTATCGCCGCTCGCCAGCCCCGCCRTGCACAGCAGGGCTCCCTGATAAGCCCAGCACCCAGCTCAGCCCCCAGCCTGGCCGTTCCGCTAAGCTCCGCACTCCCAAAAGGGGCTCAGCCCCCACAACCAACCCTCACTTGGCTGGGGGCTCCGGCACCGGCTGCTCTGGGAAGCATTACGGTGGCGCCGGGAGCGGCGCGGTCCCCACTCCCCCTTTTCCTTTGGCAAAGCACGGCACAAAGAGGCGGCGCGTTCAGCGGGAAGGATTCCAGGAGGTCATTTGCCGAGGGAAGGCGGCTCCGGCATTTGATCAGCGAGGAAGCTGGGACGGCACAAAAGCGCCTCAGCAGCAGGTACAGCGAGAGAGAAGAAAGCAGAGGCGAGATGCAAGCGGAGGCCGCAAGGGGCCGAGCCTTTAAAAGCCAGGAGAAGCAGCCTGATCTACAAACGAACCCTTGTGAACAGGCAGCCTCATCAGCAGGGTGACCCAGGGGACGCTCCACCTGGGCCTCGAGTCGCGGGTTTTGGCTCCACGCGGCCGCTTCCCAAGCGGGCGGGATCGCTTCTGATCATCCCGGCACCGGCAGCGCAGAGGGAACATGTTCGTTCCGAGAGAAATCTCCTGCACGGAGGCAGCTTCGCTGCGAGGGCCCAAGGCTCAAGGGACTTGGAGGAAGAGGGTTTATTGTTATTATTATTTTCATTGTTTTGCTCCTTTTTCACTCTTTGTTTCCCTAGGACCCATCTGTGAATGACTGTGAGTGTGGTGATGACAAAACAAAACTCAAAGGTGAAATGCAAATAGTTGAAAGAAGAGCAGCATGTGAAGGAAGCACCTCAGACCAGCAAATTCTAGTGGAGAAGAAACAAAATGTAGCCAGAAAGTCCTTTGGAGAGGGATTCATTATGCATGATCCCCTTGCTGTGAACTAAAAGCAACTTCCTCATTCCTATACTTGCTCCTTGAAGGGAAGGCTGAACTTAAAATGTCTGTTTCAAACGTAAAGGACTAGATTAAAGATCATTTTAGGTTGCCCTTCCACACCAGAAGGAAGCTGTAAAGAGGCAGAACGCAATTTGTTTCCTATTCTGCCCAAGTCTTCTCTAAACAAACYACTCACAGCCTTCCTGCTCCACAGCCCTAAGTGTGAAGAGCAAAAAGACACCCAGAAACACCCTTGTTGCAAGGCAGAAATCCAGGCTGGCAGCCAGCACATCCACTGCAGGTCACTGCAATGCTCAGGGTGACCTCAAGATGTAAATGCAGCCGAGGCCAGGCAATAATTCCGGTGAGGAAGGCTGCTCTTCCACTTCTCTCTGCATCCCAGCGCTCTGTATCCTAATATGCTGCCAGGGCTTTGTCTCCTTTGATTAAGACTTGGTAATGTGAATGGGCACCACAAACAGCCAAGGCACCAGAGCCAGGTGACACTGCTGCAAGGGGAAAAGACCATTTCCATGGAATATCTTGGGAGAAACGATCCTGCCCCACAGACTAACCTTACTGCCCTGACCCGCTTCAGCTTCACACACCTCAGACTTCACTGTGGAGTGCAGAAAAGTAGCAGTAAAAAAAAAAGAGAGAGGAAATAAAGGAGGCTCCAGGCCTTCTCCTACCTCGGAGACTTTGTATTCACAGGTCAGCTTCTTGCCCCTGACGCCTTCGTTGAGGGTGAGGATGAAGCCCATGTAATCCGCGTACGCCTGCAAACACAGCCGGGAGAGCCGCGCGTTAGGGAATGCCCAGAGTTGCTCCGGACAAGCAGCACAGCACGGGAGGCACTCCCGTGCACAGGGAGCCCTTCCCAACACACAACTCCRGGCCCTAAAAYGAAATGAAATAAAATAAACAGGAGCAGAGCTTGCTGTGAAGTTGCTCCTATTATTTGCAGAGTTCCAAGTCCATTGCAATTGCACTAAGAAAAGGGAAGCAACTGCAGAGAGAAGAACCCTAAGGAAGCTCAAACCTCCCCTCATATTCTCCTTTTTATCAGGTTATTTCAAGCTCACAGGCTCTGCAGATTCTCCATGCTGCCTGCACGTCCTGCTCTGTGTTACTTCTCCCAGACCTGTGCCAGTATCTCCCACTTTCAGCTCTTCTCCCACGTGTATATCCAGAGGAAAACAGGAGGCAGCCCAGGTTCCTCTGCTCCCCTCTTTAAATTTGCTGCTTTGGAAGCATCATATCCAGAGCAGCTCAGCTGCCCCCTAACATGCTGTCCCCTCTCCTTCCTCAGGGCTCTCTTGCATGGAAACCTTGATCAGGAGAGAGTCCTCAAGCCCTGGAGATTTCACAAAGGAAGCTGCAGCCCTTAGTTCTTGAGCCCTTGCTATCATTTAAGTTTCTTTTAAGTCATCTCAGAGCAGTCATTAGGCAAGAACTTGCTCCTAGAAGGTGGTGCCAACAGGAGGAACAAGTTTGGGTCATCACCTCCATCCCTCAAAGGCAGAGGGCAGAGAACCTGCCTGTTCTGCCAGCTCCACATGTACAATAACTAACTATTATCCAGGAAATGGAAGGTCTCAGCCCTAGGCCCAGGAACCAACCCAGCCTGCTGCTACTAAAGGGCCACAGAGCTGGACTATGTTCAAGCCGAGTCCAAATAATGTTGTGTAAATCCAGTTTTGATGGCAAAACTACAGGCTAGGCAGGACCAGAGAGCTACCATTTCCTAGACTAGCCTTTTGGAATAGAGCTGGGATCATTTGCTGGTCCCCCTCAAGCCTTTGGGCCCTCCCTGGCTCTCTCCTTCCTCAGAGCACTTGGCCACCAGACTCTGCACTTGATAGTCAAGGTTTTCCCTACAAACAGCTGGGGACTCTTGTTCTTTAGAACCCAAACTGATGGATTTCTCAAGCCCCTTTTACCTAGTGGCTGTTCTGAGGCCCATCCCGGCTGCCCTGCTGAGTGCAATGAGCAATTCCCCCCGAGCCCGGGCTCGTACCTGCGAGCGTTTCCACTTGCCCATGTCGGAAACCATGTTTATCTCCTTCTTGGGGATCATGAAGCTCTGCTGGAGCGGAGGAGCTGCCTCCTCAGAGGCACCTGGACGCACAAGAAAAAAAAAGAGAAGTCAAAAAGAATCAGTGGAAAAGAAATCCTCCAAATCTTGATTTTCCTCAGAAAACCAAGGACAGAGAGTAAACAAATCTGTCCCAGCTTGTGCTGTTAACCCACCAAGTCCCACATGCCCAGCAATAGTCTCYGACCCCCAGGATGGTCCCTGGAATCCCAAGGACTGCAAGGATCCAGCAAGTTGCGCTACGCTTTGGTTTCCTGCTGAAAACCAATAAAATTGAGAGGCTCTTGCAGGAGGGACCTAAGTCACAGTCTGGCTAGGTAATTTATTTCTCTCCAGGGAAAACAAGGCCCGGGTGAGGCAGCAGCACTGCGCTCTCCTAACAAATCACCTGCACTTTGCTCTGGGGGTTGAGAGCCAGCACTGCAGTCCCCTCAAAAGCAGAACTCCTGCAATGACAACGTTCAATAGATGGCAATGAGTCCAGCGCAGTTCCAAACCCCCGGTCCAGGCGGCCTGGGAGGCCTCGAGGAAGAAGCTGCATCCCAGCAGCCAAGTGAAATATGAAGGTTATTTAACCTCAAAGCTCTGCCAGAGCCCAGCACGCAATATTGTAAGTGATTGCACGCTGTTCATGTGGTAGATCAGCTCTTCCCAAGCATCCCGACCAAGGACTCGGTCCCGCCTGAGGGGCCGCTCCGGGGCTGCAGAGCCAAAACACTCCGCAYGGTTAAAGGCGATTTGCATCCTGTTCCTATAGGCACGACTTGAACAGCAAGATGCAGCGCAGCAAGGCATAGTTAGGGAAACTGGCTGTTAATGGGAATTTATTAATTCCCTCAGAGTCACCCAGCTCATCGTTTTAATTCTGGAAAATCTGAAGTTGCTTTTTTCAGCATCAGCCTCCCCAGGAAGCCTTTGGTGACTCCTCTCCACACTACAGTGAGTTCAGGCACTGACTCTGCAACACACACCAGCAAATGTGAACTCCTTAAGACAATATAAGTTGCATTTACACAGAAAATGCTACGCAGAAATGTACAGACTCAGCATCTAATCTTAGAGAGAATTTAACTTCCCTCCTCTCGAGCTCCAYATCTACAAAACTACTGCAGCTTCCCCTCAGCTCAGGTTTTTAAGACATTTGATTCGTTCTGGTTGATAAGTTAAAGGCCCAGAGACAAGGATGAGAGGAACAACATGCAAGGAATTTAAATGARAGCCACCGTTCCTCTCTTCTGCGAACACAGCAAACTCCTTGCAGCAACTACCCTCATAATCATGGAGCTGTTTCTGCATAAACTATTATCCATTTATCTATCTATAAACTTTCAAGAGTTTATAACACGAACACAATAAAAACGCTAGAGCAGTAGTTCACAAAACGACTAACGTTGTCTTGACGGTTTATACGGACTATACGTAAGGACCGGCGTGGCCAGTGCAATGTCCTGGGCCACAGCAGCCCAGCTGGCTCTCGTCAAAGAACTTTTTCCATCTCTTTGCACTTTTTTCTTGACCATCACTTCTTACGCACGCTTTGTGCTCTTCCTCTCGAGGAAGACGCCAGAGATACTTTATGAGAAAAGTAATAATAATAAAGGGGATAAGTCTCCAGGAGCTACAGTATTATGAAATTAATACATAAGTAAAAGCCTAGGAACAATGGAAGAACGACGCAATGGAGACAGGAGCTGACAAGGTTGTTTTTAGAGCGAGATGCGACTCTGACACAGGGGACATGTCCAGTCTTATCTGCACAGGGGGAAGAAGGGCCCAAACATCAGGGGTTTTTCCCACGCCGGCCCCTTGCCCGGGGCTCCCTAAGGGCCGACCGTGCAGGACCGGCSCGGCGAAGGGGCCGGGCGCGAGGCGGCACAGGTCAGCGGCGGGCAGCACCGCCACCAAAGCTGCTGCTGCTGCYTCCCCATTACCGGGGACACGTCGGCTCCGAGGGCGCCGCGCGGCCCCCGGGGGACCCGCAAATCCCGCCCGGCTGCTCAGCGCGGAACCGAGGCCGCGGCGAGCGCGCGGTGCGACCGCCCCGGGAGCCGAGGGCTCAACCCGCGCTTGGGGGGACACCCCCACGGCCCTGCAGAGCCCCCCATGCCCTCGGGCACCCCCAGACCCCTGTACCCCACAACCCAGACCCCCCACTCCAAGCCCCCCTGTTCGCTATGGGGCCCACACGCTCCCCAACCCCTCCACTCCCCACAGGGCCCGGCCACCCGCCGAGCCCAGGCCTCCCCACGGCCCACGGGGCCTCCCCGGGCTCCCCGGCCCCCATTCAGGCCGTGGGGCTCAGCCCCCCCAAACGCGCTGTCCCCTCCCTCCCGGCCGCCGTCCCGGGGGCCCTRGGCCGCCCCCGCGGGCTAAGGGCCCCGGGCTGCCTCTCACCTGCCGGCCGCTCGCTCTCTGCCATCTTCCCGGAGCCCGGCCACCCGCCGCCGTCACCTCTCACCTCTCGCCTGCCCACACGCTGAAGCCGCCGCCGGCCATCTTTGAGCAGGGCAAGCMGCCCGGCCCCGCGGCTCCCGGGGCATTCAGCGGGCATTTTGACCCCTGCGAGCCACCGTCGTTGCCCACACCGCCATGCTTACGCGGGGCAGCGCCTCCTCTGCCCACACAGGCGGCCATGTTTGTGCAGGGCGCTGCAGCCGGCCTCGCCGTGAGGAGCGGGTGTGCACGGAGGAGCCCCCAGCGGGCGGGACAACCCCCGCCGCTCTCCCCCCTTGCCCGCAGAAGCCGGGTCCTCACAGCGGAGCCTCCCCCCAGCTCCCACCCCAAGGGGTGCAGCGTCGTACTCTAGCGCCGCCTTGCCCTTCCCCAAGATGGCGGCGCGCGCTTCGCCCCGCTCCAGGATGGCGGCGCGGCGGCCCC